AATTTCGCAAACCTCAGGGACCATTTATGATAAAAATAAAATAAAAAAATAAAAAAAACTTACTTTCTTTTTGGATTCGGGGTGGGCAAAAAATTGCACAAACTAAAACCATTCAAACCAAACTAGCATTAGCAGTTTGGTTTAGTCATTACATTTAAAAGGTGTAGTCTTGAATCAAATTAAGCCAAATCACATTTAATTTGATTCGGTTCACCTTATTTGGAATCATGTGGCTCGATTTGGTGTTGTACGTTATTTAGCAAACCAAAATAGAGAATCGAAAAAATTGGTTTTCACATAAGAAAATCAATTGCAACTTGCCTTACTAGATAATAAGATTTAACGTCTTCTTTTTTTGTGTCCCGATTTGAGTGGTCGTCTCAATGTTATCTTGGTTTGTGAAACACCTAAGAACTAGGGGTGGCAATTTCGGGCACGACTTGAAACCCGCACGAGAATTTAGCTGGTTCAACTCACACGATTAAAATTTGGGTCTTTTTTGGGTCAACCCATCATGACCTGTTTAATAAATGGGTGGGTTTTGGGTCAACCCGCCAACCCACTAAAATACTTATATAACCTGTTTAACAAAACGGGTCATGGTAAGTCAACCCGTCAACCCGCTAAAATACCTATGTAACCCACTAACTCGCTAAAATATCTGTGTAACTTGCCAACCCACTAACCTGTTTATTTGTTTATTCTTCAATTTTTTTTTTTGTAATGTCTTTTAGTTTCTATCACTTAGTGGGTCAACCTGATAAGACCCGAAACCCGCACGAGGACTTAACGGGTCGAGTTTGGGTTGAGCATTCCTTACACGTATATAATCTTGACACGACACGAACCCAACACGTTTATTAAACGGTTCGAGTTTGGATTGAGCATTCCTGACACATATATAATATTGACACGACACGAATCCGACATGTATATAATCTTGGCACAACACAAACCCGACACGTTTATTAAACGGTTTGGGTTGAGCATTCCTAACATGTATATAATCTTGACACGACACGACACGACCCATTGCCAGCCCTACTAAGAACCCTAATCCATCTCATTCCATACCCGCAACCTCCAACCCTCTCTTTGTCTTTCATCTCTCTCTGATTGGTAGAAGCTGAGACAGCTCAATTTTCAAACTAGATGCTTCATTAAAAACATAGTTGGGGGTGGTGGTTGGTTTTAACCTACAACACTGTCAAATTGAATAACGCTTACCCCCTAACTTTGTCAAATTTTATAGTGTTGTCCTTATTAAGTACATTTTTACAATTTCAGAGACCAAATTGCGACGAAAAAAAAAATTTAGAACCAAAGTTGAACAACCTCAACAAAAAAAAGAAAAAAAAGAAAAGGCAAATGTATAATGAACTCTTTTGTAAGTAATGTTATTGGTAAAGGAGGGTAAGGTTCAATTTAGAACCTATCATGTAATGATTTTCTCAACTGTAACCAACAAAACGTTATCAATTTAGTTCAATTCGATTTACTCGAGATTCTCATGTTGCCCTCGTGTGACATGTGTAGTAAAAAAAAAGTATTTTATGTTAAATTATAATACTCGGTATGATTTTGTTTATTGATAATTTAGGCATTATTCTACCCCAAACCAAAGAATAGTTAAAAATTTATAACTCAAAAGTTTTAGGTTCGAATTCCCTCTCCTCGGTATCATTTATACTTTAAACATATGTTGATTCAGTATTGTCGGAAGTAAAAATGGTAAACTCCCTAACACTTTATGGGGAATTTTGAACATTATCCAAATATGAATATGTATGAAATGCATTGTCGATTCTTCCTTGAAAGGCATTTGCTTTTTGTTACCAAAAAAAGGCATTTGCTTTCGTGGGCCATGAAACGACAATTGTCTCCCAATAGTTTGCGTGTCTAGCCTTTCAGCCACAAAAGGACATGGATGGATACTTTGGTGCATCAGATTGCAGCCTTTTTTTATATAATTGCGTCCAAATTCACAAAACCGACTTCAAAAGCAAATTGCTCTCCAAGTGTCTTGGATAAACATAGCACATAATTAATTGATCACCATCAATTAATTAATTATTTTTCTTTTTTCTGTCTATTTTGTTGAAAATTAAATTCATTGAAAAATAAGGAAAAGAATTACAAAGGGACTGGATTGGAAGTGGGCCGGTACAACCCAACATCCTCAACCCACACTCATTGTTGGGGCATAACCTAACCTGGCACTTACAAGCAAGAGCTTCTCTCCATGTTTCTTTTTTTACTTTTGTTAGTTGAGATGAGAGACAGATTATAGAATGTTTCTTAGTCAATAAATACATAAAAAGCTAATCAATTTCTTGGAATAATCAAACTAAAAATAGAAATAAACCCTAGTTGCAAAGAAAACCCTCTATAAGAGTTCAAGAACATCCCGAATTGAGGAGAGACGAGGAAGAAGAAGCGTTTCTGAGTTGTGGGCGTGGCTTAAAATGACGCTTAATGTTAGTGATATGAGTTTGGTAGTTTTTTGTGCGCCTCTTATCAACTTTAGTATTGCATTATTAGTTATGTTGTTGAAAATTTATTTACTGAAATTTGCTAGTTTATTAGTATCCGAAGCTCGATGGTGAGGATTACGTCATGATAAAAGATTTATGATATTAAAATTGTATAAAGTAAAAATATGGATTCTCATGTCAGAATCAGATGTATCAAAATTCTTGGTAAATAGAAAGAGAAAAAGAGCAAAAGGAAAAAGAAAAAAAAAGATTCCGCAAATAGTATTTTTCTCGACTTGCTATAAACGCGAGCCAAGGAATAGTTAAGGGGCTGCACAGAGACAGCGAGCTGGAAACATCAAGGAGCCAAAAGCTCACACTCGCACAACAAAGTCAGCCCCACAACTCCAACCACCAGTCAGACGGAGAGACTCACACATTCAACATTTCTCTCTCTCTCTCTCTCTCTCACTCTATACCTTCTTCTTTGAATTTCCAGAACCTCCTCCTCTCCTTCTCTTCAAATCCAAATCCAAACTTTCTACTTCTGTGCATGTCAATCTTCAACACCCTTTAAACTCATTTGAGTTTCCATCAAAATCCAATCTTGAACAACCAATTTGGAGTTTTGGTAGATGATCATGTTGCAGCTGTTCTTCACAGTGGCCTTCTCTGCAGTGCCTCTGACTCTGTATGTTCCACCACTCAGAAGCCTAAACCCCTTTGTAGAGACCATGGAGGAGCTCTTCTCCGAGTCAAGATCATACACCAATAGGGTCTACCCACGTGTACGCCATCTTTGGGTTAGGATCTTGGATTGTTTACTTTGCAGCACAAGGTAGATTACGCATATATCATAGATCATCAAGACTTTTCAATCGATTTCACTTGGTACCATGTAATTGGTTACATCCCACAAACAAACTTCTGAATCTTGTTTTAGCTTTTTGTTTTTGAATTTTTCTTTTTGTTGTGGTAAATAAGGTGTGATGAAGAGTTGGTTTTTGGTGTTTGTGGTGGTGATGTTACTTTGCCAGCCGGATGATCTGTTTATGTTATAAAGTTTGTGTCTTGTAATTTCATGTGAATCTTTTCATGCCATTGCAGAGGTGATATGTTTATTGCTTTGATTGCTTTCTTTTTCGTTGTTGGTTAAAAATACAGAGGATTTTCCAATCTGGGTTTTTTGGGTCTATATCTGAGTTGTCATGGGCAGCTGGGCATATATGGCGTTTCATTTTTATGTTTATAAACAGAAGGAAAGATTCAAACTTAGTTCATGTCCCAACATTAGTAGAAAAAGAAATCATAAGGGCTAAGAGCTAGTTGGTTGGCTCGTACTTGTAATTAGGGAAGTAAGAACTCGAATACAGGACCTTGAATACATGAGTAACTGCTCTTAATCACTTGAGTTACAAGTAAATTGCATATAAATAATCTTAGAAAACATGTAACAAATATTATGTTATCCGACACTTGCAATTAGGGTTGGACTAGAACTCGAGTGATAAAATACTTACCCGACATTTACAACAAGAGTTCAATTTTTGTAAACCCTTACGATTTAAGTTGAGGATAAGGGTACATATGTGATGGCTCATGGTTTTCTTTGAGAATTAATGTGGGATTTTGAGCTCTAATCTTACCCATTCTTCTGATTATAATAGAAGAAGAAAGAAACAAAGAGTGCAGATTAATGGCTATAAGTATGAGAAAGAATTTAACTGATAAATAGATAGATATGAAGGGTATAAAATGCGGCAGATGAATACAAAATAAATGTTCTCATTTGTAGCCTCCAATTATAGGTTTGCAGGCGAGGCCAAAACAAACAAAAAAGGGTTGTGAGGTGGCTTTTTGTTTTGATTTGTATGTGGATTAGGTTGGCAAAGCTTTGGAGGTTTGTCATTGTTGGTTTACGGTTCCCATCTGAAATTGGCACGCCTAAGAAATTAACTTGTATGCTAAAATTGAAGGACAAAAGACAAAACGAAAGGGAACATTTAACAAGTAACCCTTGGCCATGCCATGTGGCTTAAAACCAGAGTTTGCTAGGGTTTATCTTTTCTCCCCCTTTTGTTTTTTTTCTTTTTTTAAATAAAATAAAATGTTTAAGAATTGTAACTCATTGTCAAGTAACCGTTGACTTGACCTATTTGATTGGAACCAATGAATTTGATATATCTTACACTAAACAGTTACAATGGCAGCTGCTAACCTCGTTTATCTTTAAGACAAATTTAACACATGGGCAGCCTCTTGTAAGGAGAAATATTTTGGTCCGACAGTGGGATTAAGTCAGTCGTTCACCCACTCTCACAACTAGGTGGACCCCCTCTAGTAGGGTACATCCAGGTCTGTCCAATACACGGGAACCCCACTTGGTTGTGAGGGTGAATGAACGGCAGACGTTGCCACGGCCGGACCAAAGAATTTCTCCTCAACAATGTATGAAATTAGAAGTAAGCCCACAACTGAAGGCCTCCGGTACATGAATACCATAAACTCAACAGAAACGGGTCTCAATGGTAAAAATTGAAATTTTATTCATGGGAACTGACTGAGCCCAGTACAATTATTGTGTGGTTAGTACATTACAGTTTTATTTATCAACTCCACATTAATCAAGAAAAAACCGAAACTATACTCTATAATGGAAAAAGAATCAATGAATCGTAACAAAGCAAAGAGATTAAAGAAAAATGAAAAGAATGAAATAATGAGCATCAAATTCTTGCTCAATGTTGTCCCTTTTTAGTTGGACAGCGTTGTGCAAGGTTTTAGAAACCAAAAAACGTCCACGGTTCTTGCTTCTCTTCCATCAACAATGCAAGGAGTTTTCCCTTTCTCTGTGGAATCCTCCTTGGTCACTTTATTGTTTTGCTCTGCGTCTGCAAGGATTCCCCTTTCCTGCTCATTCAATATAAGAAGTCAATTATGAAAACTGACAGAAAATGCTTGATTTATAACTAAGCCAGCACATAAGTCTCCTCTATGAGGTGATCTTAGTTCAAGCAGAAGTCAAGTCAAATCCAAAATACAATACGGAAGGTGATAGGAAAATTGAATTAAAAAATCACAAGTAAATTAATAAGGTAATGCATAAATTGACAAGTATATGAAGCATGGTTATGCATAAAATTAACAAAACAGCCCAGGGTGAGGAGCAAATATAAGAAGATCATTATGCAGGCGTAATGTAATGGCCAAAATCATATTCATATCTACCATAGTTTATGATGATAAACTGGAAGAGGATCTTCTGAG